TGTGATTCCTGGGTTTGTCCTCTGCAGGGCCAGGATTTGGACTCTGTGATACTTCCAACTCAGGAGATTTTATAATTCAATGAACTTGCACAGGTCAAGAGTTCTCAGAAATCCCCAATTCAGTTATTTTCCACTCTCCCTTTCCTCCCTGAATCACATCTCTGAGAATAAAGGCCCATGAGATCTTACTCATGAAGACCAAGACAAGGAAGGGACAGAGCACTTCAGCCTTATCAGAGTCTCTCTTGCCAACTAAACCCCAGCACTAAATGCCACGTCCAGTCATTTCTTGAACACTTCCAGGGATGGTGACTCCACCACTTCCCTCGACAGCCTGTTCCAATGCTTAACTACCCTTTCAGTGAAGAAATTCTTCCTAATGTCCAACTTGAACTTTCCCTGGTGCAGAATGAGACCATTTCCTCTTGTCCTGTTGTTAGCTGCCTGGAAGCAGAGAATGACCTCCACCTGGTTACAGCTTCCTTTCAGGTAGCTGTAGAGAGCCATAAGGTCCCCCTTCAGCCTCCAAGCGAAACAACCCCAGTCCCCTCAGCTGCTCCTCACATGACTTTCTAGACCCTTTACCAGCTTTGTCACCCTTCTCTGGATATGCTCCAGTACCTCAATGTCTTTCTTGGAGTGAGGGGCCAAAAACTGGATACAGTTCTCAAGGCGTGGCCTCACCGGTGCTGAGTATGGAGGGACAATCATTGTCCTAGTCCTGCTGGCCAGGATGCTATTAGCCTTTTTGACCACCTGGGCACATTGCTGATTCATGTTTAGCTGGCTGTTGACCAGCACCCCCAAGGCCTTTTCCACTGGGCTGCATTCCAGCCACTCATTCCCAAGCCTGTAGCACTGCATGGGGTTGTTGTGACCCAAGTGCAGGACCTGGGCATTTGGTCTTCTTGAACATCATAAAGTTGGCCTCAGCCTATCAATAGAGCCTGTCCAGATCCCTCTGCAGAGCCTTCCTAGCTTCCACCAGATCAGGACTGGCCCCAGTAATGAGCCTTGGGAAACCCCACTAGTGACTGAACACCAACTGGACATAACTCCATTCATCAGCATTCTCTTGGCACAGGCATCAAGACAGTTTATAACCCAGCAAAGAGTGCACCTGTCCAAGCCATGGGCTGCCAGCTTCTCCAGGAAAATTCTGTGGGAAGCAGTATCAAAGGCTTTATTGAAGTCCAGGTACACACATCTACAGCCTTCCCTCATCCACCAGGTGGGTCACCTGGTCATAAAAGGACATCAGATTGGTCAAGCAGGACCTGCCTTTCCTAAACCCACGCCGGCTAGGCCTGATCCCCTGGTTGTCCTGGACATGCCAGGTGATCACACTCAAGATACTCTGTTCCATAACTTTCCCTGGAACCAAGGTCAGACTGACAGGCCGGTAGTTCCCTCGATCCTCCTTTCAACCTTTTTTGTAGATGGGTATCACACCATCCAACCTCCTGTCACCTAGGACCTTCCCAGTTAACCAGGACTGATGATAAATGATGGAGAGTGGCTTGATGGGCTCTTCTGCCAGCTCCCTCAGCACCCTTGTGTGAATATCATCTGGACCCACAGACTGTGAGTGTCTAAGCGGCACAGAAGGTCTCTAACTACTTCCTCCTGGGCTGCAGGGGATCTATTCTGCTCCCTGTCCTTATCTACCAGCTCAGGGGGATGGTAGACCTGAGGATAACTGGTCTTCCTGTTGAAGACTGAGGCAAATTGCTTATGGTGTTACTCATTAAAGGTTTAAAATACTTTATTTTTACTTAAGACAGACATACGTGTGGGGGAAAATAAACAAACCAATAGACAGCTAAATTCACACCATAGGATCAAAAATAATTCTTACACTTCATTTCACAAGGAGAATTCCTCATATACTTTAATTTCCTCTGGAATTTTAACTAGATTGAAAAAAAGAATGCAGGTATGGCCTTCAAGGACTATTTTTCATAGCAACAATTATTCAAGATGTAGTCTCCCCTATTATATCTTCTCAAGAAAGTCATTTTTTATAGCTCATCCATTTTTAATTTGATAAAGCCTCTGTATTCTGTTCTCCCTTTTCATTTGACCGCTGAGACTTCTCATAAATGTTCATTTCCTAGCAGCTAGAGCACAATGAACAGAAAAGCAAACTGCTGTTCGTCTGAACAAAGGCACTCCCACACAGTGGAGTATCTATGTCTGGGAGCCCTGCTATAGAAAAACACATGCCCACAGTTATTCAAAGATTCCACTTCAGCCACAGTGCAATGCACTGGCAGACATGAATAGCCTTTCTTTTACCTTGTTTATTCAAGAACTATGATCCACCACAGCCTGCTTTTAAGTATTTGATATCCTACAGTGAAGAGATTAAATAAGCCTGACGCCAAATGAAAAACTTCAGACATGATGTTGATTTTTTTGTAAACTTATGAAACCAAAATCTGAAGGTCTTGTCCTTAGAGACTAAAAGGCCTTTGCTCTAGGATTTTATATTTATTGTGCTAGCAAAGTCAATCCTATCTCTGTCAGAAACTGATTTCTTGATAGGTTTTCTCCTTCCTTGAGTGCATTTGAAAGAAAAGCAACCATCTTTCTAATTTCCATACTGCTCCTCATGTAATTAATCAAATACACAATATAAGCCGACTTCCTTTCCAAGCACATTATTGCAAATTAGTCATTTGTGGCAGAAAAACATAAAGAGAGACAGGACTGTATTTTACATCTTGTTTAAGAAAAGTCTTTCACAATGGGAACGTGGAAGATGAGCTATAATAATACAGCGTTTCAATAAGTAAATATGCACAGGGAGGCACATAGACAGCACACGGGTGTGCTCTCATTTCTCATGTTTCCAGTGAAAGAGGTCATGACCTTTCAGACTTTAACCTCATCACTTCTAATTTTTCATCTTGGTTCTCAGAAGAGAAGTCTAACCCATCTGGTTTTCAATTTTATGAGGTCATGAGCCATGAAAGAAAATCTAGCTTTAAAAAAAACCCCTGTGATATATAGTCTTCTCTCTGTGTATAAGAGTAGATTATGCAGATGTTTCTGTTAGGTCAAAACAAACTTACAAGAGAAAAAGTATCCTTTGCACAATATTACACATTCACGTGTCTACAACTGTGTACTTCATTTTGGTTGTACTCACACATATCTAGTCTATCAAAATAATTCATAACGGCAACCTTAAACTCTTACCAAGATGAAGCTGTGAAAAGCCTGCCTTTGATGTCCTTACTGGGATATTTAGCCTGGTGCCACAATGAGACAATAATTTCATCAGAACTGATAGTTACATTTCCTACTACAGCAGGGCACAAAAAAGTGTCCCATCCTTTCCTCTGCTCTATGGCAACATCAGGCAATACAAGAGGCAGGTCAACTCATGTCTGATTTGGACATTTCATTGATCAGTTCACACCTCCAGCAATGCATTTAATAGTGTTGGTGAAAGGTGGGTTGTTTTCTTTTTAATTTAACAGCTGAAAAGTGCGCAGCCTTCCTCTCTCCAGCCACACAAGCCAGAGCTTCAGCAACCCACCCCCACACCATAGGAAACATTTTACATACAAAAGACTTTGTGAGATCTTTTACATGGTTTTCAGCATCCACAAAAGCCAGAGAACCATTATCCAGAGAACCATTATTACAATCTCCTGAAAGATTTATAATATGGGGATAGTTGTAATCACATTAGTTCATAGTGTTTTATACATATAAATGATATAATGAAACTCTAACTGTCAAACAGCACAGCACCTTTAACAGAGGACTATCTCATATTTCACTGCAGGAACACTTATTGATTCACCTGTTTCATGTACTTAAGAGATGAAAGCTCACAGTAAAATGCAACATGCAGGAATGGGGTTTTAAAGCATATATTTTAAAAAACAGCAAGTTTTGAAAAATAGCAACAGAAAATGGTGTGTAAAACCAGATAATAATTGCTTCTAACACTATTTCTCTAACTGCCTTGCAATCCGAAGGCCAATCGAGTTCTTGTGGACTGTGTCCACCTGAAGTCCTATTCCCTTCTTCAGCATCGCAAATAAACACTGAGCTGTTAATTGCAGTAATGCTAATTAAAAGACAAAAACCCATTACTACATTAACAGTGAAATTGGCAATTAGCACGTAAGGTTTCCTCATTACTGGTGCTGCATGAAATGTGAAGCGTGATGTGGATAGCAGTCATAAAAATAAAAGACATTTTAAAAAAGCCAATAGGTCACATTTTCATCTTACTTCAGAAGCTCTGCTGGAATCAGTAACTGAGAAGCTGACTTACAGGAAAGAAATTCCTGCAATGTTTTGTAAAAACTACTAAAGAAAAATATTGCCATTTTCCACATCTGCATTCACAGTGGTTTTCAGAGGAAAGAGTACTTGCCCTGGTGTAGCCACTAGAAAATGGCTTAAAAAATTAAAAATAGGCAAAATGCTAACATTTCATCCTGACTTTAAACTCCGCATAAGGCTTCCCCATGACAGACTAATGGATACTGAAAGCAGTCCAAGTGATCCTATGTACTTTATTCTTTAGAATGAACACTTACTCTTGTGTCCTTCAGTCGCTTTCAACAACATTTAATGAAAGTTAATACAGATCCCCACAACCCTAGAGCTGCTTCCATAAAGTGATTGTGCCCTTCATATAGCCTGTATTTCCTCAGGTCTCTCTCTAATTTTTTTCTTTTCTTTTAAAGGCTTTCAAATCTAATTCAGAGGTCTCATGGTAAATAAAATGCAAATACTTTCAGCATTTTCTTCCTTGAGAGAACTGGAGTATGTATTTGTTTTTCACTTGCTTCCTTTTAATCAAGCATTTTGTTGACCATAATCAATTTCTTCACTCAGGAGAAAAATGTGCAATTATCTACAATGAAGAAGGTGTGTCTAAGGAATAGGGTGGGGGGAAGAGAAATCAATGGAACCATCTGTCTGACATTCCTACAACATTATAAGAGACTTGTAATTAACTGCTTGCCTACCAAAGTCTGCCAGCTTTAACTCCCCCGTGTCACTGATCAGAAGATTCTGTGGTTTCAGGTCCCTGTGCAAAATGTAACGCTGGTGGATGTAAGACAGTCCTCGCAGCAACTGAAATAAAAATAACTGAAAAAGAGGGGGACAAAAAATGACCTCTGTTAATATTTTGCATATAACCACAGGTGATTTCTTCACTATATGCAGGGTGCTTGCATATTGCAGTAACATTTTGTCAGAATTCCTCCCAAACTGGCGCAATTCCCACCCAAATTTAACACAATGAAATTCTCATCTGAAAAATATTTATTTTGCAAGGACTAAATCCAGCCTCCAAGCCCTACTGTATTATAGATTCAATTTGCCTGCTTAAAAAGGAACAAGAGCGATACAACCATGCACAGAAGGCTCGGTGTCTACCAAATTATAATTATATTCCATTTACCCATATGGCCTTAGAGATTAGGTGGTAGCCTGAAGACAGATGTGTATCTTCACTAATTATAGGAAACAACAGTACAGGGTGGATAGGGATGGGGAAATTAGGCTGGGGGATGGGACACTGAAGCTAAAACAAAGAAATTAATAGCATAACAATAATGCCTGTGTACCCAAGGAAATCTGCAAATATGATAGGTTTTTCCCTTCAAAGTTTATTTTAATGGGAGTTTCTTATGTGTTTTTCATTAGGAAATAATAACTCTCACTAAACCTAAAGATGACTTTTGAAACCTACTTGTAATAGTCTTTAAGGTAAATTTACATAAGAACTTAACTCACTCTTCATGTTTCTTTGCATTCTTCACTGAACTCTACAAATGCTTACCCCTAAAACTAAGCATTACTATTGTGTATTTTCTAATTTACAACTATGAACAAAGAGCTGGATGATGAAGATCTTTTGTCTTCCCCTTTTCACCTCCTGCATGCATCATTGTCCTGCATTCTTACTGGCACTTGCTGTGAAAGGCTGTGTTAACCGTCATGGATTTTGTCAATACAAAGGGTGAATAAACTCCCAGAAGTTTTCTTTGCAGTTATGAAAAACCTATCCTAAGACACAGACCCTTCCTCTTGCCTGAAATATTTTAAGAAATACTTCAGTTTCCAAAAGGGAACACAAAATTCCCTTGCAAACCTATAAACATGGAGGATTCAAGTGTGTATATGGAACTCGTGCCTCGCAGCTCAGTGGAGAGTGAAACATGCTGTCTCATAAGATGTGGAAACTACACCAAGGATTTGGGAAAAGTCAACCCAGGCACACAAAAATTTCTAATTAACTTGCAACACAAGCATCCTATTTAGTGATTACTGAAGTGAAGAGACATAATAAAAAGGGTTACGAAATCTGATTATAGAAAAGAATAAAGCCTGACATGAAAGAAACAGAAATGTCATGTTACTGAAGTTGAAATGAATTTAATTGCATTTCATTTTTTCCCTGAACGCAAGCACAATACACTCTATGTTTAGCTATTTAGCCAGGGCACAAAGAGCCATATCAATCACCTTCTTGCTAGGGTTGGGTCTAACAATGTGCTGAGGAAACCTAAGAGCAAAATATAGAAACAAAGAATAGCAGGAAAGTCATAAGTAACATGCACATTCCTTTTTGAATTGTGGTTAAAATTGAATGCATGGTACATAAAAACTATTTTAATAAGGGCGAGAAGTAGAAATGGCTTTCCTTACATCCTGAAAATATAAATTAAATTCTATTACATTAATTCAGTATAATATATTTTTTAAAATAAAAAGACAGACAAAATAACCAGTTTGCTAGGCTAAATCAATGATATTTAACTTAAACAGTATTTTTAAATGTGCAAAGAAATTTCGATTATCATAGTATCTTACAGCCCTGTAACCTTTATAATAACTCAAAATATATTTATTAATGTGGTCTTTCATTTGGCTTTAGTGCAATGAGTCAAGTGATTTGACATCATGTGTTAAAAAAAAAAAAGCCCAACAACTTCACAGCTAAACAGAACCAACATCTACTCTTGAAGCCACCTTTGGAAAGAAGTTTTATTCCAAACTTGTAGACATGCTGTACTCATCAAGTAGTTCCACAAAAGTTAATTAATTCACTCACACCTCTTTGGAGGAAGATCATGAAAGAGAAAAAAAATCTTCCTGAATTTGTTACAGGGTTAACTCAGATATTGTTTTGTTGCTTTCTCTTTTCATCTTCACCTTGGTTATTTGGCAATATTAAATGTGAAGAGATTTAAGTGAAAACACAAGCCTAATGCCTGGCAGCAGACCATTCTGCAAACCAGAGGCCCTTTGGGATTGCTCAGAAAGAGGAAACACTAAGAGATACTCTTCGTTCCCAACGGTTCCTAGCTCCACAAAAACAGAAGTTGAATTGGAAAGAATTGTTTCTGATGCCTCACAAAACACTTCTGCCCTCTCACAGTCAAGTTCCCTCCCTTGATTCTGAGGAAAGCCTTCTCCAAGAAACCCATTCCCCTTCCAGACTATCTGCATTACTTTCATAAGTATCAAAATGAATGCTAGGTGAGGTACCATCAACTCTTACTCATGTACCCAATCTGAAATCAACATACCATCTATCATGGTCATACTCTCAACTTACTCGCTGTTTCTTCCACCTCACTCAATTCTGATCACTACGAAACCTCAGCCTTGGGCTTCTGCCACAGGTTTTGAACAAGCAACTGAACTGCCATCTCCCATAGGATGGGACCCCTGCAGACCAGAGGACAACTCTAAAAGGAGTCAATGGCAAATTCAATATGCATTTTAATGGATTAGTTGTGAGGGTAGAAACAACATGGATTGGTAGCTCTTTAGCTTTTATGTTAATAATTTTAATATTCAGATGGTTATATACAAGGCTGTATAAGTATCAAATAACCTGCAATAAACAAACTAGGACATCACTTTTGTCCAGTTTGTAGCTTATTAGTAAGAACAGAGGTTTTGATGATTAAGTGAAACAAACAAAATGCCAAAGGTCATTGTGGTTAGAGTTGAAAAGGCAGAAATTAGGACAGAGATTTGTGTCTAGAAGTCAGGTTTTCAGCAAGGTTTACCATTAGGAGGCTCAACAATTTATGTTCAGACAAAAAACCTCAATCTAACACTTGTGGCTTCAGGTCTTGCTTATTTATAATAGCCATTAAAAATACCTTTTTCCCCTGACTGTAATGCAGCTCTCATTTTAATGAGCAACATATTTTAATGAAGAATTTTCATGAGAAAATTCTCAATGAGAAAATGAGTCAATGAGAAAAATGCCTGCACATCAAAGCCAATTTGGGGTTTATGAACTGTGATATTAAAAGAATAGTAGCAGCTCTTAAAACTTACAAGAGAAAGCCCTCAAGTCCACAAAAAGGTTACATAGCACCTATATAGTCTTTCAAGTGTAAGGGATGGATAGCCACTTGAGCTATATGCAATATTTGACCAAATGCCTATAGTAGTTCTAAACTACTACATTTTCTGAGAGATTTGCAGCTGCCTGGATAAGCAGTCCAGCTTTCCTAATGTTTTCATGCATAACCTAGAGCACTACATGCACACATCTAACAGCTGCAGGGTGGCTCATATGCTGGAGAATGCTTTGCTATCTGTTGGCCTCTGAATGAGCTTGTAAGGTAGACACTGACACAGACTGTCCAAACCACATCTAAAGGGTGGGACTGATGGGAGCTAACACTTTCTGACTTAGGTTCAGAAAGCTCTTAAGAGTCTAATGATAAAGGGGGACATTCATGTACAGGTGATCCATGTAAAGTGCTCAGATGACTCCATGTACTTGCTTTCCATTCCCAGAGATGGTAGAGAGTTTCTGGCAAAGGACACTGGGGTAAGTGAAAAGCAGAAATTCACAACATGCCTAGGGAGATTCTCCAGAAAATGTACCATTTCCACATAGTCTCTCCTGAGGCATCAAGATCCCCAATGACAGGAAGGATGCTGGCTAAGAGGACATAATAATGAGGCCTATGGAGGGCTTTTTTAAATCTTTCCCTGATGGCACAGAGGGATTTCTGACCTATTTCCTGCATTTGAGCTCCCTTAATACATGTTGTATTGTGGTAATAAAGGACCAGGCCCTAGATACAAACGTAGAAAGCAACACAGAACCTTTAAGTCTACAGAAAATACTTAAAAATCTTGGTTCTGCCCTCTGTGAAGCAAAAGACTGCAAGTTGGGCTGATCTAACCTAGACCAGGAGTTAACAGCATTTAAGGAGAAAGCTGAAAGCAAGATTGAATTAATGTGTCATTCCTTTAGCAAGCTCATACCATTCCATTGGCATAGTTACTTCTGAAAAATAATGCACAATACCATAGAAGCTTTATTATCACTCACCACCGGGAACACAAATGCTCCTGCTTGCTCTAAGTACTAAACCCCACTGTCTGGGTATCACGTAATCATCTGAATTCCCAAATGTGTATTCAGCATCAATAAAATCATATTCAGTCTTTATAGGCCGTCAAATCCAAAAATGCCAGTAAAAGAAACCCAACTTGGGACATCCCTTCTCATGCTTGCAATCAGTGTACTCCCTATCATCCAGAGGATATTACAGGCTTCTGTGAATTGTTGGCTATTTACAAAGGCAAAAGGAGGTAATAAATCCCTCAAGTACCTCATAGCCTTGGAAATAAACACAACCAAACACAATGCTCAGTTATGTTTGGGTTTACTAGATTGTCTGGGAGTTTTAGATTGACCTGTTTTAAACCACTAACAAAAGAAAAAACTACCTGGTAACACGTATTATCACAGAAGCAATGAAAAATATCCCTCTGTGACTTCTGCTAGCATGTCAAAAGCTCATCAAGTACAATCTTTTTTATCACTCTTGGTTTGCTATTCTTTCCCCTTTTCCCAACCAGGATAATAACCACGAGATAAAATCCAACTTTTCCCTTCTAACAATGTCCTGGGGAAATACTGAACTTTTTAGGTCAAAGCTTTGTAGACTCTGTTGCTTAAATTGTCAGAAGAAGGAATTCCAGGAACAAAGTGGTGACCTGAGGTGAATTTGCATCCCTAAGAATAAAGGATCCTATTTGAATAAAAAATTATTAGCTATTTGAATCAGCAGGATTACCATGATTTAGTGAGATAAGCT